ATGGCTGCCGCTGAGGATGCGCGAAACGATCAGTCGGAAATAGAGCTGCTACGAGATTGTAAACACATGGTCGATATTCTGTCACCTTAGCTGTTGCAGGAATAAACTATCAATCTACAGTCTCACAGGTGGAGAGCGTCGAAGTTCCTTGAACAAGTCAATGGCCCAACAATAGCGATGCTGGAAATACACGCAAAGTCTTGAGAACTTCCTCAGTCTACAACACAGTACTTTATGCTACAAGGAAATGTGCGAAAGTCAAGTGCCTATCAAGGCATGCCTGCTACAAGGTAATACAAGGTCGGAGTGTTCTAGAGAGAGACGACTATCCTCAGTCAATGTCCCATAGCGAACCAATAGAGTGCAAGTGTACTGTCTAGCTCAAGTTGCCTTAGTCTTCGTCTTGCCGGCCCTCCGCGACGCAATATGGGGGAAGATGCTGCCGTCATAGACACGCCGCACGTCTTCTTTTTTGATGATACCGTCCTCAGGCCAAAGCATGATATATGTGGCAAGCCCTGAGGCACGATCAGCTCGACATGAGGGACGGGACGAGGTGAGTCGTATGCATACATTCGAAAATCGCTCCAAACCAGCCGATAGGGTCCATGATGACCCGCTGGCCTTTAAGCCCGTGCCAGATGTCCCATTTCGACAGGCCGTCCTTGTCTCCGCCATATTTGCTGAAGAAATCCTCGAATCTGGGTAGGAGCATGAGTTCGAACGTCGCAAGGAGACAGCATGGTGCGTACTTCTGGGGTATGAATCTGCCCTCGGCGTCGTACGTGCCAGTATCGCTGCCATGCTTCGCCTTGTGCATGTTCTTCACATAGAGGCGGAAGAACGGATCAGGGAAGATGCTGTTGCCGGTAGGGTAGGAGAAGTTTGCGTGGATGATGAAGACGGCGATGAGCGAGAGGAGTATGTTGAAGCCGAGATCGCGAAAACCGCGGTACGTGTCGAGGGGCCAGATGACGCCGTCATTGTCCGTGTCGAAGAAGTCGCAGTGCTGCTGGAGGACGGTCTGGTGCGAGTGCCTCGCGACCCAGCGATCTTTCTGGGTGCCGTCGGGCGCGGTTACGGACGCGGCGATATTTGCGTGGGCGGTGCCTGGGGTCGAGGTGCGGCGGCGGGTGCCGGTGAGGAACGGGCCTCGCGCGACGAGGCTGAGACGTACCGGGGTTGATGAGCTTAGCATTCTCCTCGTGAGTGGGGTGGTAAGGGGGCCGCTCGACGGTGACGGGCACAGTGTCGATGGCGGTGTCGAAGAGCCTGTTGTTGCGCTTGCGCTCTGCCATGTTGGATTGGTGGGGTTCTGAAGGAGGCGCGAGAGGCTGGGGAGACTGCGACGCACGCATTATGGACGCGACTCTTATGCTGCTGCTGCACGCCCGATCGCTGTCCGCGTCGACATCCACGTCGACGTCATCGCTCGTCCGCATCACCTGACGTCTTCGCTCCCAGAGTGGCTGCGGCGATGCCTTGCATGGCAGGCGCATTAATCGAAGCCCCTCTTGCCGAGTTATCCATCCACGGCCATCCACGGCCAACCTGTCGGGCAGCAATTGCAGTCTGTTCACCTGCTTGCGATATTATGGAGATGCGTGGTGTTGGAACAGTAGTGGCGTCCAATGTAGTGCAACTGCGTAGCACCGATACGAGTTATACACACTTGGGCAAAGAACGCAACAGTGCATGATCGGTATACTTGTAAGTTGATGGTGGGAGGGCGGCTTGTCAGCTGAGTGACCGCAAACGACAGCAAACACATCGATCGAGCGTGTAAGGCACAAGCATTTCAGCAAGCACAACGAGCAGGCCGATGGCAGGATCTCTCCATGTCACTCATTTCTGCGAGATACGTCGTCGAGAATCGGCTTGCGAAGGGAGAAGGCCGATGGACATGGCGTCGATGGTAGGCGCTGGCCAGGCACGAATCGGCAGATCGCGCAGCGCCGGCGGCTGTGCTCGGCTCTGCGTCGCTCGCAGTGGCCGGTCGCCACTCGACCATGCATCCAGATGCATCCTCGCCCGACTGCTGTCGACTGCTTGGAGAATACCATCACACCAAAGATACCGACCCCAACATCAGTGATTTTGTGAAATGCCTTGTCTTGCACCCGCTCCTAGGCCGCTGCTACGCTTCAGGGTCGTCTGCACCGCTCCTCGGTGGCGTCGGCGGCTGATGCGCGAAAACTGTTTGAGAGAACTGGTGCCCGATAGGTACAGCATACTTAAGTATCAAGCAAAGGCGTTTGTCGAGACGCTCCTCGTCTGCGACCATCACCGTCTCTGTTCGCGCTGATTGTGCGCGTGCTGTACTCTAGTTTATCCTCAAGTGGGCTGGGCCCCTTGTAATTTTCTACTGTTATCTGCCCCTCGCTCAGGTGGACGTAATCTGTGTGTGACCTCTTTTGCGACTCAAACGATGGCCAGCACCGTTTCGATTCTCCCGGATGGGAGCGAGTTCATTCTCAAGACTCCATACACACACGGGGAGCTGAAGGGCATCGTTGTGAGTCATCTTTCGTCTTCCGTATCCACTGTATGCGCTCACAATTGTCCAGATTTTGATAGTCGTGTCCATTTTATCAACACTGGCCGTGATAGGGCTCCTGGTCGCTCTTGGGGTAAGTCTATGGCTCCCTCCAGCCGCCCGCCTACTTACGCCCCACCACTAGCTGTCTGCCTGGAACACGCGCAAGTCGGCGAACCCAAACCTATTCATCCGCAGTCGCGTCGCGGCGTACTTCATCTCCCTCCTCCTATGCGATCTCTGTCAAGGTATGTATGCGCTTTATCCTACACCCGACGGCGGCTCACAACCTCCTAGGCGTGGGCTCGCTCATGAATTCGAGATGGTACATGAACGGAGCGGTGACATATGAGCCGTTCTGCACGGCGCAGGGTGAGTGATTCTAAGCACCTTTCTGTAGAATACCCGCTCCAGCTGCCGGCTCTCAGGCGCGTTGAAGCAGATTGCGGACGTGGGCAATGCATACTGGTACGCAGCCTATTGCCTTATCTCACCTCACTTGCGTGCTGACTACATTCTCGCTTTTCGCGTTTCAGGAATACGGTAATTTGACATATCATGCCACGACCTCTCCGACTGATCAGTGAATGTCCACATTACCTCTCAGACCATCGCCATGAACGCGTTCTGGATCCTGTTCCTGCGCTGGAAAGTGCGGACGTACGTCATGTACGCTGTGTTAATCGGCGGCTGGTCGGCTATTGGCACGCTCATTATGGTCGGCCCTGCGGCGGTCCAGAGTAACAGCAAGGGTCCCTTCTGTGCGTGCTGTGCATCTCCTTTCATCGAAGTTCACCAACGAAATTCATACAGATGGTATTTCGGGATACTGGTGCTGGATCTCCAACGGGTATGAGGTATCGCATATAACGTAAGTCGTCTGGGCTACCAGATAACATGCGTACTTACCAACAAGGTTCATGGCCACAATGCAGGCTGGACTACATGTTTGTAAGTATCGATTTATGTGCCGTATGAACCAGGTGCTCAGAGTTAATTGCCATAGATGTTCTCCTCCGCGGTTGTCACATTCGTCCTGTACCTGCTGATTTTCCTTAATCTGCGTGGCAATATCTGGGTGAACGGGTGGCGTGTCAGCTTTTCATTTCCTCGTGACGCGGAACGAGCTGCCTCGAGAGGGGTGGACGACCACGCTATGAAGGTTGCAAAGCAGATGCTCCTGTGAGTCGCTCGTATCCGCTGCGTCAACGATTTGCTTAAAGGTCTATTCCCGCCAGATACCCAGTATGTTATCCTATGTGGGCTGCGAAATCTGCTTTATTGACGCAACGCAGCTCAGCTACACAATCATGATACTTCCGATTGGCGTATGCCGTTTCATGGAATGGGCCGGGCACGACGTCCCCTTCACCGCGACCATCTTCAGGTGCGTCCCCCATAGTTCTCGTTGAGTGACTCTGACTCTCGACCACAGCGATGCGATATATCTCACTTCCGGTACGTTGTCGCACACCCACGTCCCCCAAATACTCATCTCGCCGCTCAGGTGTCGCGAACGTGATCCTCTTCGCGGTGACGCGCCGCATCCTCCCGCCGCATAGCGTCATCCCAAAGTCCGTCGCTCGCCTCTTCGGCCGCAGACGCGAGCCGCACCCGGACATGTTCACCACGGACCTGGAGCGCCTCAAGCACGACATGTGCGTCGCACCACTCCCTGCCGGCGTGAAGCCCGCCAGCGTCCCCGTGTCGCTGCCGCATACACCCCCGCGCGTGTCTGTGCAGCCCGCGCCCCCCCTGCGGCTGTCGCACGTGGTCCTCGGCATCCAGGAGCACGCGCACGAGGCGAAGCCGCCTGTGCGTGACGCCTTCGAGACGGACTTCCGGGCGAGCGATGACGTGAGCAGGTACAGCAGCGACCCCACCTCCGTGGGCCACCCCAGCCCTGACCGCGGTTTGTACTCCGCATCGAGCCCACCCGGGTTGCCCCTTCCGGCGAACACCCCGCTACCCGTGACAGCTCGGACACCCGCCGTGCCTCCACACGGGAGCTGGCTGTGACGGGCTGTGTGGCGAATGCCAACGGCAACGGTTCCTATGTCGCCCCAGATGCTGATGCCATCTCACGACGGCTACGACTATCATTATTGACATCCTCATAACATATGTGCTCCGGTAGTACAGCGCCTGACGGTTGTAGACTGTAATTATTAGTGGCAGATGCTAGTCACCTGCGAGCTCTTTGGTGATTCTGTTGTTGTTTTACTGGTTATTCAATTGTATGGGAACTCCGTGGGGAACACTACCGACGCACGGCCCAGGGAGGTCATGTTAACAGCTACGGAAGTAGTGTGAAGTCTCAGACCACAGATCAAGCTCATTTGTATTGGATTCGACTGCAGGTATTCATCATTCACACTTGCCGCAGGGTATTCTTTTCCGCATTCCGCATCTAGGTACGATTGATTTACATGCAGGATACACAACGCTTAGCGGAAGAAAAAAACGACGCCAGTGAGATTTGAACTCACGCTCCCATAGGGAAACAGATAGTTATACTGCCTTTCCAGATCGTTCTAATCTGTCGCCTTAACCGCTCGGCCATAGCGCCATACAGTCGGTCCGACCTCCAAACAATAGTATCCACCCACGCAGTTTATGACCCGAATTAGAAACCGCTGCGCTCTGCTGCACCCAGAACGCATGACTTAGAAAAATTACTTCGTGGCCAATGACCATGTATTCTTGCTATAAACAACACGAGATAACAGAAAGTCGTTCAAAATACGGACATTAATGTCCTCCTCCTGTTGTCTAGTCTCAGAGACGTGCGATCCCCCTTTGTGAGCGCGGATGCCGCGACGGTCTTGCGCACCATTGAGCAAATGTGCGTGCCATCATATATCCCGTCTGCATAGCCGTCGTACGCCGGAGGGCGGTCCTCCGCGACGTTTTCCGTGGCACGCACCGTGGTCGTCGCTGCAGGCTAAGTGGTAACCATATCATTGATCAGAAGCTGCAGCGAAAGCACGGATGTGGCATGCCCCCCAGCGTCATTCACGAACCTCTCCCGACTCCCAGTCTGATTGCGTGTTTGCATCGTGTACAATATTCATGGCACCAAGGTGAACGCCTGTTGCGTTCCAGCGAGCTAATTTGGGCGACGATATTTAAAGCATTACCGCCTCGCCGAACATTATCGTCGGCGAGCTAATGCCATCTGGCCTCCATATATGTAGACCACATAAGAGAAGATGAAAGCCATGCAGCCCGGAAGAGACGGCTCGGAGGTCCGGAGAGGTGGGCACTAACTTCGTGCCACGAAACTAGTGCCCATCCCGGAAGACGGCTATGAGGTATGTCAAGTGCATTGATCGGCAGTACTCTCTGCTTTGCGTAGATGCGCTGAGAAGTCGTCCACATTTAACGCTGTTTGTTTGTACAGGCAAAGGAACACATCCGCAGCGAACGCCAATACTCAATGAGCCGGGGTAAAGGCCAGGGTCTTGCTAATGCAGCTGTTGGCTACACGGAAGTTGTCCCAAGTACCAGTAGATGCAGAGGGCTCAAGGTTACGTCAGATACGAAGTGCGGGACATCCGGGCAGAGTTGGAGCATGTCGTACACAAGGTGCGTGAAGATGTCACAAAGGCAGTCGCGCGAGACGCGATTGTGCAGGATTAGGAAGCGGTGCTGGACATCGAGGAATTTGCGTATATCACGAGCAGGCAGAGAACGGCACTGAGGAATACTAGGAAGGTCTCACATCGCCCCACCATCAGCAGGACAATGCGAGGCAGCGGATAGGGACGATAGAGACAAAGCTGCATTGCTCAGCATGCTGTATCCGAGATAGCCAAGGCGAGTGTGTACCTCGCCCTACATTAGATATAAGGTGGTGTGGAGTAGAGAGTCCCGAAGTCAGACATCTCAGTCAGGAGGTGACCGGTGACCAATCGCCTGCCTTCCGACCTAGTCTTGATGGAATGCATTGCCAGCTTGCGCTGGCGTCTCCGTTCCGGGCAACAATATGTATGGCGACGCCGACCGACGTGGAAGGTTCCGTCTTCGCTTTCCCTGCGCCAGGTGTCATGGCGAAATCCCCACATGCAAGCAACGATCCAGTCCATCGGAATGTCGGTGTCTGGAGAGATAGTCCATATGCTGATGGCCGACTAGGTGTCGCCTGATGAGACGTTATCCAGATGGTCCCAGGGAAGAGGCCCGCCGTAGACTGTCGTCTGGCCTCCTTCCGCAGGCCCAGGACACCAGTTCATGAGGGTGGCGAGTTCTGGGGAAGAGGTGTAATATGGATGGAAGCGATGGAAGGGGTTGCGTGCCCGGCGCTTCGAGAGCAGCAGGCCGTGGCAGCCGTAGAGGTCAAACGTGTATGGCAGGTATCCGTTCATGATCTTACGCAGCACGATCAGCCTCGTTTACCAGTTGCTCGATCATGGACATAGCCACTCACCTCACCATCCTTGGCTTTGACCGCTTCCTCGCCGTCGACGTCTACGCCTATGTAGCGGAAGCGCGACTCTGGCCAGCGCAGGGCGGCACGGTGGAGCTCGGTGAATCTCCGCCGCTTCATTTCGTAGCCAACGACCGTAATGTTCTCGGGGTATCGGTTGGTATATTCGTGAAACCGTGCAATCGCATACAAGAGGTTCTGGAAAGAGTCTAGTGCATAGTCTTCGGTCGTTGCGCGAACGGTCACGTCAAGGCCGCTCACGGGCGGAGAGATAGGTAGGACGTCGGAGAGGACAGCGATGCGCATGTATGATTCGGCTTCCGTCGTCGTCGACGACGGGCGAGTCTGGCCACTGTATAGTCCGATGATATTAAGCGAGTATTCCAGTGGGATGGTCGGGAGGGTCTTACCCACTGAAGATCAGAAGCGAGTTTGCATCCTCTGCAGCGAGCTGTGCACTGTCGAGGCGATTCAATGACGACTCTCGACGGGACTCACAGGTCGTCACTCACCCTGTCATGATGTGCTGTACGAAGGCATTGACGCGTCCCCCACCACGCTGATATATCTCCAGGATCCACTGGTCCTCGTCTAGTATCTCAGCAGCATCGTTTCCCTTCCAAATGGCATGTCCTGCCACTACAATGAGATGCGTGAGGGCCGACAGCGTCTCGTCGCGCTGTATCGTGTCGAGCACGCTCGTCGGCGGGGTATATGGCAAGCGGGGCCGCTCGATTACTAACGGTACCTCGACAGCCCGTGCATCCGCGAAGAAGTACCACCCGAGATTGAGGACAAAGGAGAATGCAGCAAAGCAGGCTAGCAAGAGGAGGCCGAGGTTGGTGACGCGTGAACGGGTGAGGAGGACGTCCTTGGTGCTCCTGCGGGTCCGAGTGCTCGAGAACTGCTTTCGGACTGCGAGAGAGACTGGCAACGGCAGCATGAACGCATGAAGGTCCGCCGCCTGCTGCACACTCAGCGCCACAGTTGCGAGTCGGCTACGACTGCAAAAGCCCTGCACACGGCAGCAACCGAGCCGCGCAGCGGGCAAGTATGAGGCTGTGACACGGCAGCTGCCAACCCAAGCTATGCTGGGGACATCATCAGACTCAGGAACATTGTTACTGGTATACCACGGAGTCGCTACTATGGCAAGAATACATAATACCGAGACAGGCGGTCTACATACTGCATACCAGTACTCTGAGTCTCGGAGACGGACTAGGTGGCAGTCTGGCGTCGAAACATGGGATCGTGCTCAGAAAAATATATCAGTGCTTTAGAGAGGGAGAGACGGGGGAGATCGGTTGCGATGCCGAATCCAGTCTCGTCGGCAAGATACCGCGGTTGCAGCAAGATTCATCGTCGCGAATACCCACTGAGCGTGCAGGAAGGGGGAAGAAAACACAAATGACGGGAGGTAGGAAGGCTCATCACTGCCTCTCAGGGACTGCCCTGGCCAGATGCCGACTGCAATGCACGACAGCGTAAGTAGGCAGGCGCTGCGATTCAAGTTAGCATACGCTGCCAACAATGCATCAGAGGGCTTACCCCAAAAAGCACACAACTGGAACAATACGAATGCACTCGTAGACCTTCGAACGTACCGGTGGCACTTCGGCCGGAGTCTGGACGCAATTGAAGGCAATTCGAGGATGATGCAAGGAAGACTTACCTGGGAGGCTCTTCTCCATTTTACTGTGTGCAGCACAGCGATACCGACAGCGCAGAGAAACCCGACGGCGCACATACCCGAGGCCACAAGGCTGAGTGTCGCTGCGACGATGTTTCCGTCAATGCGAAGAATCTTGCATATGGCTGGGGAAGCCCTGCAGAAGCAGGATGAGTCGGTGAAATGCGCACGGTAGCAAGGGTATAAGTACAGAAAAAATGAGAGGTGCTGAAGAGCAATGTGCGCGAACGCGCTCGCACAGGTGGCGTGCCCACGCCCGGTTTCATCGTCGCTCACATCGTCCTCGTTCTGAGCGTCGCTTCTCTTGACGTCGCTATCTCGATACCAGTCGTCTTTGATTTCCTTAGGAGAGTCCATTAGGAAGTGCGTCTGTGCTGAAGCAGAATAGCCGCCGCAGTCTGTGGGATTGGCTATTAGCCTCCAGCGTGTATTATAAGTACCCCACTCACAGGAAGTGCGGTGCTGAGGCAGTGGCAAAAGCGAAGCACGTACCCACCAGTACTTATCATGTCAATTTGTAGTATTGCCACACGGCAGTGGCAGCGCTTGCGGCACAGGTTCAGTACAACAGTCCACTACACACGTATACGGCAAGACTCGTACTAGTCAGGTGTACCGATACAGCACCGCGTTCCAGGTATAGAAAATCTTGTGGGTCGCGGGCGGCTGAAACGGAATTCCCCAGATCCTTCGATGGTATACTGAGTTTCACTGTGAGGATGTGGAATCATTCGATATCTCTCACGCAGCGTGGATGAAACTTCCTGCAGGAAGTTAAGTAGGTGGATTTTGGTGCACGGTATTCTTCAGCCTGCGAATTCAAATGCAAGGCATGCCCGTCCTCGTGTGCATAGATGTGCATACGCCTCGCGGTGTAATTGCCCTTTTTCTTTTTTCCACGGTAGGCAGCACATTTGTCTTCTCGTACCAGTGAGCAGTGTATATGGTATATGGGGAACGCGTACACATCGTCCTGGGAATTCCTAAGACGGCTTTTATGTCGATATACTGATGGGTGGCAGTTGGTCCAAATGGAAGTATAGTAGTTGAACCAAAGACAGAGAGCACCACGCACACTCCAACAGTATTCAGGGACCATATGCGTCCGAAGCAACCCCAGAAGTTACCGCGCCCTCCATGCTACAAGCAACGGCATCCGCTCGCTGCACACCTCGTGGAAGATGTGACCACGCTCCTTCCTGACGTACAAAAGGTAAGCTGCTGCCCCTGCCACAACGCTCACGTAGGATGCGAGCGCTGCCCATTTGAACTGTGATGGACGAGACAAGACGGCTGTCAGGACATACTATCACACAGCGTGAGCGAGGCCTAGTTCAGGAGCAAAGAGCACGTTCTTACTTTCAGCATGTCCGCAACGTTTTGAAGCGAAAACTGCAGCGCCGTTCTATGTGTCGAGGTTAGCAATATGCTGGACCACATGGAGATG